AAAAATGTTTTCGCGCTCGGAATTTCAATCGATAACACAAGTGGACATTATTGATGTACGTTCCTTGAAAACTACAATCTTACAAGAATTGAACGAAAAAGAAATCAGATTCATAGCTCCTCGTTGCTAAGCTATCGCATTTGTTGATTTAGATGATATGATTATTTTGCAATAGGTCAGGCATTGATATTTGCCACGATTTGTTTAGATATACTGCGAAGTTTTAAATATCATATACCGTGATTCATTTAACAGTTTTTTAATATCAACCACCTTAAATCATTTTTAACTCTTCCGATTTTAACGTAGTTTAACAAATGTAATATTTCCGCAACTTTTCGATAGTTGTTAGTTGCGCTCGAGATAAATTAAATTTTTTAATTTTGAACCACGGTCTCGTATTGCAAATTTAATATTATCAAACGTTATTTCTAATCACATCTATCGTTTATGTGTTATTTTTCAATAAAATTAAGAAATAGGAATTTTTTAGTTTGAAACGTTTATGGTGCAAAACTCACTAGGAAAGGCAATGCGATTGATACAGTACTTGGATTACTATAATAGATGGGCGATTCCAAAAATAAAACAGCTCTCTGCTTTTACTTCCCTCTCCAATCGTAATTCAACCAGACTATATCTACAGACTAAAAAAATGCAAACTTGTACTGTATAATTTACTCTTGTATTTATGTCCGTTCAAGTAGCTTTCTTTGAACGTCATTTGGAATTCTCGTGTACCTGCTTGTTTGATATTTGTTTTATTTAGAGCTATATAATAGGATATATTTGAATATTTATAGAGTAACTTTGTATTATGTATGAAAACATCAAGCATTGCCAGATATTCCTTTGAAGTAATTATTTTTAAATGTTGATCTATATTTCTTCGCTAGAAAGTTAGGGAAATAAGTTTCTTATCGTATAACTTTTTTTTAACGGCCGTTCATTTTTTACACTTGTACTTTATTGAAAGTTTATAAGCTATGTATTATAAGTTTTTCATTGATTATTTTTGTTGGCAAAGCGTCAATAGCTCTTGAATAGAACTTTACGTGTTGTATACAAAATGTTGTTGACGATGGTTCTTTGAAGTTGAAACTTTGAAAGAAGTATCATTAAAGGGGATATATTAACGATAATTATATTGGAATGAATGCAGACAAAGGATTAGTGTATAATTTGAAATTCTTGAAAAATAATTTTGAACCAAAGCAACGCGTGTATCAAACAACTAACTGAATAGCAATTTAATGAAGCACACACCGGCGACGATAATAAATAAAAGTTGTCGAGCAGTATTCACTGGTTGCTGCCCTTTCGCGGGAAAGCACACGCGCGCGAGTTTTCATTATCACCTCATGAATAAACCGGCGGGAACGCGGATGATTCATGCCTGAAACGTTGCTCAGCATGCACGATCGACTGACTTTCTCTCGCTATTCTTTTTTCATCGATACTCCATTTACCATACAATAAATCATCAGTAATTATCACTCGCGCATGTCTATCTAAAACTAGCTGTGGTTTTGAGCTTTCGCACAGAGACTGGTCGAGTTTGCTGAATGGTTTCCTCGTATCGCCGGTCTCTATGGTCGGTCCGATGTCCATTTAATGGAATTTTGGTGGCGATGATAGCATTATACGTTAATGACTTTCGACAGCCAATTTTCATGAGATTTTCGGAGCTTACTTTTGTGTAGAGGCAGTCGCGTGTGTTGACAAATATAGTTTAGATAATTATGTTATGGTAATTAGATTATCATGTAAATGTACGCTTTTAGTGGAAGTAACGTGGTAAGCACAACGGAAAAATATCTCGGATATATAGTTCGCTTGCGTCGATCATCATCATCTAAAAGGCATACAGTCAAAAAAAACGCGTCAGCACATTCGAAATAACTATCTGGATTTCCATATGAATAGTGCCAATCACTATTGCTGAAAAAAAACATCAAACAAAGTGATCGACAAATTTTTCACTTCTCACCCAAGCTACGTTATCAAAAAAGTAAAATAAAATAAAAAAATCTCTCTCTATCTCTCTACCCACTCAATAAATAGAGCGGCATGTTGAACACAAAGTTGTTGAAATGCTAAGCTAATAGAATTTTCTACTTCTGTATTTTTCGTTATCTGGCAATGAGCAGTGAAAAACGTATCAAATGCCTTGACAGCCATGATTTATACAAGTTCACACGCGGCTCGAGATTGATTGGTGAGGAGAACGTTATCGCACGACGAGAATTCAACTCTCTATCACTAGCCGATTTTTCTATAATGGACTAGCTCTCAACGGAGAGCACAAAAAGATGTACTGCGATCGACAACGACAAGAGTGATCAAACACGTGACAAATGACAACTTTCGATTAGAACAGATTTTATTTTCGCCCATCAAATCGTTAAAGCTTTGATTGAATAAAAAAATTGCCGTACATAGTAACACACTTATAAAGATACGTTGTCTCACAAAAGATCAATACGAAGAAAAAGTTTCTCTCTCTCGAAGGGTTTAATTCTTTTATCGTACTTGGATTTCAGTTTTGGAGTATAATTCGATAATACGGGCAAAATAAAAACATTGACTCTAACGACATTAAATGTCTCTTAGGGGGAAACTTGTCTCGAGTAGTAAACAAACGCAATTTGAGAAGTTGGAACTCATCTCGCGTGAGCCAATTTTTTCAATGTGCTAACACAATGATGTAGTATATATGAAAAAACAAAGTTTTAAAGTTACAAGGATTTGTCTACACGTTTATCGAAATTGAGTTGATTTGGTAACAGTCGATTTCTCTCAAGTTGACTCGATTAAACTGTTGTTCGTTGACGTCCATTCTCATTACAAATTTTACACGCTGCTGTAAGATCTAATCAAATCTCATTAACACGCTACAGCGTCTGAAACGACGAACATCAACATCCTCCCAGCGGCAAAACAATGGCTAACAGTGAATAGTCTAGAATCTAAGGGGAGTTTCGTGGCCGATGGGGATAACGAACTTCACCCAAGTGCATTTCATCTATTTTGAGCTGCTCCGAGCCCAAATTTTGATGGTGATTTGCCAAAAAATCAGCAGGTAATTAGTTACTAATAATGTTACTGTTTAAATTGATTAATTAGATTATCAATCTGCTCTTCAAATTTTGAAAACGATCATGCATTCCCCATTTCATAACGAATCTCTAACTATCTCACGTTTTCAAATTTCACTTCGATGATTAATCAATTATTTATGGTCATTGAAACATTCAATTTTGTAATAACTAATTATCTGTATCTATCTGAATAATTCACCATCGAAATTCGTGTTCAGTAAGTTAAAAAACAAATTTTATAGCTACATAATGGGTTACAAAAGTGATTTGATTGTGTTGCAACATGTAGGTCACGTATTTTGGTCCAAGAATGTACAAGTAATTAGTTATTAAGAAATTGAACGTTTCAATAACCATGAGAAATAGATTAATCATCTCGGTGAAATTCCAAAATATGCGATTCATTCACTACCTAATAAGGAATGCACTGGTTCTTTCAGAGTTTAATAAGAAAAATGTTAGATACATCTCGAGAGTATATAGAGATTCGTTATGAAATGGGTCAGTTGATTAAGAAACGATAGAATTAATAATAATTAATTATGTATTGGTTTCTTAGCAAAGCAACATAAAATTTGGTGTTTAGCGGTTGAAAATAGGTAAAATGCACTTGGGCCCGCTACCCCCATCGGCCACGAAACCCCTTTGGTCCCAAGACTAGAATAAAAAGCAGGTGCGACAAGAGCCGAGAAAAGGATGTTAAGGTCGCGGCGAAAGTAGATCAGCGAGAGAGCAGCATTGCGCACATGACAGTGGTAAAGGCAGCGAAGCAGCAGCAGCGGTGCTTCAGGATATCGTATTATGACCCTAGCGCTTTAGTATGTACCCTCGTGACCCCATGGTAACAGGCTCTGTGCCAGGCACCACTTATAGATTGTTCCCGCCAAACTAAGCCAACTGTCGGTTGCTATAGCACCCTCTCCTCTCTTGACGCCCTTCTCGTCTGCACTACGCTACCGACAGTGCGTCTCTCTCGCAGTGCAATAGCCAACGTCTAGCAGTACATGCGACCGAGATTTTTGCTTCTGCTCCGTCAACGGTCGCGGTGTGTAGCCTTGGAAGAGCGGACCCTTCCTCGACTCCATTTGCCAATCGCAACGCATGCGCCCTGCCGCGCTGCGGCTCTCGGCTGTGCTCGGCTGCGACTCACGGGCCCGAGTTGATGACGATGACTTCGCCAGTTTTTCCTCGTGATTTTACAAGGTGCGCGCGCGTTCTTCTTTGCACGTCGGCTGTGCGACGTTGAAAGCAAATGATCGTTATTGCTAATTTTCAGCTTTATGCTCTCGCAACATCTTGATATAACGACGGTTTGTTCTCCGAACGCAGCTTTCATGCTCAGCTTTCCAGTGCGAGCGCTAGGCGTGCTTGGTGCAGTAGCGTTGCGCGCGTTTGAGCGACCGGTTTTTGCGATAAAATTCAAAAGATTTTCAGTGAAAATAATAGTGCCAGCATTGTTATTACGGCTGATACTCCTGCACTAATAAGCATTGTTGGATACCTGATTTGCTCCGTTGAAAATCTCTGTCTATAATGTATTTCGTCAATCTATGACTTTGTCGTAGAAAATATGATTCTTTGATACCCATTGATCTCCAAACGACTGTCATCTCATTCACCTGATTCACTATAAATTCATCAACTGATCAAGGAACAAGTACGCAGACAAGTTTTCAAGAATATTCATCGGCGTAAAATAGAAAATTGAAACGTGTTTGATTACATAATCCTGTCAATCAATAAAGTTGATTTGAATTCTAGCAGGCTCGCTAATCGCGTCACAGGCACAAATGTTGATGCAGACCGCGGTCGCGACGCGCGAGATTAACGAATTAGCATTTTGACAGGTTGCGCACCGAGACGAAAATCGCAACGATCATTGATTGAACGTCGACGGGCGTGCGTTGAGGAGGGAAAAGGAGGAGTCGGTCCGTGAAAAGTCAATTGTGTGCGTCAGGTGACGAAAGGCCGAAGAAAAATGTCAGCGGCGTCGAAGAAGCCCAGCTGAGGGCGGTGCAGCAGGAGAGAAAAAGGGGCCAAAGCCGCTCGGATGTCTGAATGGGTGGTGTGTGCTCGTGCCGAGGTCGAGGCAGTCAGGTCAACGCTGGCTCGATCCTCGATCGCGTGATCAGCCAGGCGAGCGACGAAGACCAATGCCTGCTGTACAAATTAGCCAACTACAAGAAGGGCGGCGAGCTCATCGACGCGTACAATGTAGGCGGCCAGGGCGAGGTGGAGAAGCTGATACGCGATAAGTTCGGCATGCTGATGTACGCCGACGGCAAGGGGCAGACGATCAATCGCGCCGAGTACCTCAGATGGAAGTTTCGCGGTCTGGACGAGGTGATACTGCCGATCGAGGCGTCGCTGTCGAGATTCGACCCGCTGTCCAACTGGAAGGACCACGAGGCCTGCTGGCAGATGCAGTACCGCGGCTCGTTGGGAGAAACGCTGCTGCACGTGCTCATCATCTGCGACACGAGGACGCACACGAGAATCGCGCGGACGCTCATCAAGTGTTTTCCACGGCTAGCCATCGACGTGGTCGAGGGCGAAGAATATCTGGGCGCGAGCGCCTTGCACCTCGCGATCGCCTACGCAAACAACGAGCTGGTGCAGGACCTGGTGGAGTACGGCGCGATCGTTTCGCAGCGAGCGATCGGCTCGTTTTTTCTACCGAGAGACCAGCAGAGGCCCAATCCCGCCAAGAGCACCGATTACGAAGGACTCGCCTATCTTGGGGAATATCCTCTTGCTTGGGCTGCTTGCTGTGCCAATGAGAGTGTTTATAATTTATTGCTCGATTCGGGAGCTCATCCTGACGAGCAGGATAGCTTTGGGAACATGATTCTGCACATGGTTGTTGTTTGTGACAAGCTGGTATGTATTCGTTCACATTACACTCGTTCACTTTTCTGCCGATATTTACAGTTACATGCTTTTCTTCTCCTGATTCCACCAATTTCTTTTAAAGCATACGTCTTTCGTTTCCGTCTGTCGAATCATTACAAACTTGACTAATGTTGTTTTATTAAAAAGATTACTGCGGAGCAAAAGTTTTATTATTTACGCGAGAATACAAATTATAGAAATAAATTTGCTAAGCTTACTGCGTCATAGTTGTATTAACGAAATCGTAAGATTGTAAATGATCTCTTTATGACATATCGGCACGTATTTAATTACGTTAAAATAACAGTGACATATGAAACGCACCTGAATACATAACGTGCAGTAAAAACCTGGATAACAAACGTGACAAATATAGCGTACGTTACTACGATAAAACTGCAAAAAACATTTTTGAAATTTGTCAAAAGCACAAGAGAAGCTACGTAAGAAAAATGCAGACTATATTTCTTTACTGAACTTACTCGTAGAAATGTATCTTACCGCCTAAAGTTGCACGGCTAATTATAAATTCTCGTCGCAGAGGACACATTTTTCTTATAATTAAATTTTCTTTGCCCTCCCGCGGGTGAAAAAAATGTGACATTTCAGAACTTTCAACGCCGTTGCTCAAAAAAACATTCCGCGGTGAGAATTCGTGTCAATTATTGTCTGCCCACCTGAAGATTAAGTGTCCATGAATTTCCGAAAAAAAAATCTCGACTCGCGGTCCTCTGCCCAAGTACGGTCGTGGATGCATATATGCCGTCGTAAAAGAAGAATATCATAATTATAGCGAAGGAACTTCGTGAAAGATTGATTTTTGAAGATTCGTCATACGATCGTTCTTTCAAAAATGCTCGGAACTCGACTTGTTGACCATGAAAAGTAAGGCTGTACTCGAACTATGTACGTCGCTTAATTGAAGAAGTCCTATATACACAAGTTCAATGGTATTGATTTATCGAATATACGATGAGTTTATCGCGTATTCAGCTTCGCCAAAAATGAAATCTTGTTTAATTAAAATATCCTCATATCAGAATCAATCTCAAATAAATATTCCCGATATATTATATGAAACAACGTTTAATTTCGATCTAGACCACTCATCAAAATTTAAAGCCAACGATTCATCGAATATCCATAATATCTTCATCCCATTCATCTTCAATCCAAATAGAACCACCCACTTGAAAAATCGCTGACCCCAATAATCCAATAATGCATTCCCGTGCTGCAGCCATTCCGACCTATCCAGTCAACGTAAGACTCACCTGGAATCGAAGAAGAGAAATAAAAAATTGTACTAAGACATTCCCTCGAGAGCACTTGATTTTTTAATACACAACCGTTTGGAAAGCGACGTACAGCAAACAAACTTGTTGAGACAACAAAGTTGAGAACTGACTATGCACGGAGCGAGAATTTTTTTACGATGTGCTGTTCGTTTGTGAGGCTGTTTATTAGGTTAAGTGGCTTGATTAGAGATGAGTTATTACTCATGACTGGTTTAGGAAATAAACGTTGATGATCTCTCGGTTGACAATTGAATGTATCGTTTTGGATTTAAAGAATAAATATTGCAAGCGACGGTGAAATAATTAAATTAATACATTTATGGAATAAAATTACTGAATGACATCATATAGATTTCAACAATATCAGAATATTGTAATTAGTATCAAAGTGTTCTCTATAATTACCTTCCAGTCGATATAAACGTGTTCAGACAATACAGCGTGTATTTTGAAAGGGCTCCCTTGGCTTAAACATACATACATTTCAAAGATGTTCATTGATAATGAAAAAAAATAGAAAAAGAAAAGAAATCTAAAATACATTTGAACGCGACATCATCTCGAAGCATGATTATCAATGATAATAGTGCCTGAGGGGGGTACGTGTGTTATTGCGTAGGACATGTTCGGCTACGCGTTGCGTCATCCGAAGCTACCAGCACGCAATGGCATTGCGAACGAGGCCGGTTTAACGCCACTGACGTTGGCCTGTCAGCTGGGCCGCGCCGAAGTCTTCCGTGAGATGCTGGAACTGTCGGCGAGGGAATTTTGGCGCTACAGCAACATCACTTGCTCGGCCTATCCACTCAACGCGCTCGACACTCTGCTGCCTGACGGTCGTACCAGTACGTATTACCAACGCACCAAGACGACGATGACGATGATGCTTGACCCCAGGCCCTCGCGCTTGATTGATTTCCCGGCGGCTGCCCCTCGGCGTTTCTCGATGGATGCGCACGCACGCCGACCACCGATTGAGATTAGACGCGAGCTGCGACGCGACGCGCACATCGAGCGCGAGTATTTTCTTTTCCTCCGTTCGTAGCGAGCGAAGCGGCTCGCGATCCTTCTCTCGCAGGTAATTCGATTTTGTCGAGTCGAGACTACTGCGGCCCGAGTCGGCGAGGCCTGGAAGCCAGGCGCGCAACGCCGAGCCGCACAATGGGTCGAGCGCCGGGACACACACAGGCGAACGTTGCCAATTTCTTGGCGTTCATCGCGCAGCGAAGCCGTAATTACGGAGGCTATTTTACGAACTTTGCGGAGGAATTAGCCGCTGTCTGGCAGTTTCCGAAATCCATTATCCTTTGCTGCGCGCGCGCGCGCGCGCGCAGGACAGAGGATAAAACGGATCAAGAGAGAGAGAGGGAGATTGAGTAAGATGGATAGGATCGGTAAATATACGCGCGCGAGCGCCAACTTGTTAGAGAGATCATAAAAGTATTACGGAGCTTTGGGCCGCGCTCACGCTCCGAGACACAATGATGTAACTTTGGCAATTAAGAGAGTGCCGCGCGGGGTGGAAGTGCCCCGGCGAATTATTCGGGAATTATTCGCGGGTCTGCCCCCGTCCCCCGAGCGCGCACTTGTTTGGCTGCTTACGCACGCGATACCGTCGCCGAGAGAGACCACCACGCTTGGCTTTCGGCAAATCTCGAGAAGCGATCTCACGCGAGGGCGCGCCGATATTTTACGATCGACCGCGCGTTCCGAAGCGAGACCAAATTCGTTGTGCGCTCGTGCATTCCCTTCGCCCGTTGTGGCGAGCTCTCTGGCGTTTGTCAGTCGCTCGCGTCAGTTCGCGCGACGCACAACTACCGCTCGACGGGTTACCGTCGCTGCCAATTTCTCATGTTAAAACCTCTGCCCTTAAACTTTTATGTTAGATTTGCGGCTTGCCCGATGATCATCGCTTTGGCTTGCTTATTTACGTGCTCAATTTCACGTTCCAGACTGCAGTGACTTTCTTGGGATTTCGTTGAGTTTTCTTCTGAATATTTGTTGCGTTTTATCTTGTTGTTTTGCAAGAAGTAGACAACTTCTTTTTAATATAGATTAATTCTTCTTCGTTCGGTAAAATTGCGCGAAATACTTGAAAATCTAATGCTAAAAACGTCTATTTATTCGAGATGGGTAGTGTAAATATTTCAGTACGTTAAATTTATTACTCGAGCTGTCAAAAGCACTGAGAACCTTGTTGAGATCAAATTTCGTACGTTCCAACTTTACGCTTTGCATAGAAGCGAGTGAAAAATACAATTGTCTTATCTCGCGCATTGTTACTTTCACGCAATAATAACTTTTAATCACATATAGCTACTGAATGATATCGAATTTTGAATGTTCGAACATGTATGTACCGAAATTTTAAATTATATACGAGTAGATCATTCGAAGTTGAATATATCGAAATTTTTAATTATATACGAGTAGATCGTTCGAAGTTGAATATTCAGTTTATAATTGCTATTGTGATCTGCAATCCTATCAACGGATAATATTTTTAAGTTTCCATATTGTTTTAACGTTTGTGTCGTAAAACATTAGGTTCAACATAATATACCGTAACATTAGCGGAAAGGGAAAAGAGGGAAATCATACAACCTTGCGGAATATTTCGAACGATCAAGTTAAACGGCGCGAAACGCAGCCGATAGCGACGAGAATCGAGGGGCGAACGAGTAAAACAAATGAAGTGAGAAAAGAGGAAAAATTGAAGGAAAAGACGAGATAGAAGGATTTAGAACGGCAACAAGGAGTCGAAAACAGAATTAAAGGGGTAGAAGCAGACAGTAAAGTTTCTGCATCATTTCGCGCGCTGCGGGTAGCCTTTCTCTCTCTCTCTTTCTCTCTCTCTCTCTCTCTCTCTCTCTCACGGTTCGATTTTAATTAAGACTGATTGTTTGTAACTTGGAGCGGAAAAGAACTGAAAATCGATCTCGAGACTTCGAGCTATATATCTTTCTCTAGGCGACCCTCTCTCTCTCTCTCTGTCTCTCGCAAGCTGAAGATGGCAGTTTCGAAATTGAAAATTTTCTCTACCTTTCTCTCTCTCTCTCTCTCTCTCTCTCTCTCTCTCTCTCTCTCTCTTTCGCTTGTTTTATTATTCGGATGGAACCCAGGCTAATTATTCACGCGACTAACTAAGATTTTAATTGAAAAACTGCCCCTCTAGCACTCGAAAATTGTTTTTTTCATTTTCGCACGGCCGTTTTGTAAAATGAAGAAAAGTTTTTATAAAAATTGACAGGTATAAACGACCAGTTTATTGAATGAGAAAATATATTTTTGTTCGATTGCGTACAGCGTGCTTATTTTCCAAGCGATAAATATCGCTTTTTACAGTTTCTGCCTTTCGTTTGAAATTGAGAAACGAATTAAAAAATAAACGATCATGGCCGAAAGGATATTACGAATTTACTATACGCTGGAAACGCGTTCGAGATGTGTTTTTTTTTAATCATTGGGGAACGAAAGTAAAATGCTTAATCAAGTTTTGAATTAAAAATATCGGAAGGTTGCTATTTAGTCACTTTTATTCATTATTTGACCATACTCTGTCATTCAGTTCTATGATTCACTTAATAATTGTGTCTAGAAGTTATATTTGTGTATTGAAGAATCGAATCCGTCTCTCGCAAAGTGTAATGTTACAAATTATTTTTTACGAGAAAATATAAACGAAGACTTTTAAAAAATTCAGCATATTCGGAATGATGAAGTTGTTGAAAGGATACTCAAATGTATTTTATAAAAAAATAGAAACAGTGTATACACAACAAAACAAGCAATATTACGGAAAAAGAAATATCTAGTGCACAGCTCATGCAAAAAGGAATACGAGAATTCCCGGGAAAGCAATTCCTCATCTTCAGGCCTCTCTCTCTCTCTCTCTTTCGCCCCCCCCCCCTCTCGTTTCGGCTCTCTTTTCATCAGAGGAGAACGCGCTGCGGCTAAAAATCGCAAACAAGCAAACAGAGTTCGCATTTGCAATGCAAACGCCGCTCGCGTTCCCGAACCGCAAAACGCTAATCACGCCGAAAGCCACTAACGAGCCAAACGCGCGCGCGGGAAAGGGGAAAAAAGAGCGAGGAAGTCGAAGTGCAGCCCTCGCGCGCGCGAGTTACCTTGCTAATTGATCCACGCGCGAAACACCCTCCTCCGCAGGAAAGTGATTAAGCATTAACGAGCCTAATCGGCAGTGACATGCCGAGCGCCCGAGACGGATTGCGCGTACTCGGAGTTTAGCTTTCTACGACGACGAATATTGACGACGCAACTTGGGCTTCTGGCGCGTGATCTATTATCGAAGCTGCCACGCAAATGCTGATGGCTTCTCGACTTATATCCGCGTCAGAGCGTGCAAATCGAATTAATTCTCCGATTCGATCTGCATTACTTTTTTTATTGCAATCTCTAACGCTATTTGGTCATCCAAAAGTTTGGGACTGACTTCTTTCCTTGTCGTAATTAAGAGCGTGAAAGGATATTTAAAAAAAAGCTATATAATAGAAGGGATGTCTGAAAGAATTTTTTCATCGCTAAGGGAATGAAGAACATAATAGACGTAGAAGATTGACTTTAACGTGAAATAAATTAGGCGCTGAAATATTGAGTTTGCGATAGCGGACGGATCAAAGTATAATTAGACGTACGACAAAAAACTTTTCACGTCGAAATTCTTCCAAGAAAATCATCCATTTTAATAAAAAAAAAACCCAGTATCTCGCGAAAACATTCGGAAAGATAGTCCATCAAAAAATAAGCTAGTAGCTTGATGAGATTTTCTTGATGGTTCGAGGAAAAAAATTAAGGGCAACGGACTGTCGTAAAAAAAGTGTTGTCAATTCGTAAAAAGATTGATGCGGCAAAGTTGAGAGCGCTTTAATTCCCACCTAATCATGCGACCGTCGTGGTAGTAAGGAGGGGTGAAGAGAGAGAGAGAGAGAGAGAGAGAGAGAGAGAGAGAGAGAGAGAGAGAGAGAGAGAGAGAGAGAGAGAGAAGAAGGGTAATAACCGCCTAGGGGGCAATAACTATAATAGAGCTCGTAGCTCATCCGACAAATGGATCCTCTCTCTCGATTTTCCAACTTTTGCAGATTGGAACTCAGCCCTATTTATCATTCTCAACGGGACAAAGGAGGAGCACTTGGATATGCTGGACGGGGGTATCATTCAGCGACTCCTCGAGGAGAAATGGAAGACCTTCGCTCGGGTGGGTGAGGCTTCTTCCGCTACTGCTGCGTATGTAATATTTCGCGTTTGTTAAAAGCGCCTGTCTTTTGTACATAATGCGGCTTGTAAACGAAAATTACTTCTGGGAAAGAAGTAATGTTTGACGCCTAGAAAAAGGCTCTTCCTTATTTTTTTTTTTAATTACGTTGGATTTCTGTGATTTTCTTTTCGTTCTGTTTTCGAAATGTAAAACGCACTACTGCAAAGGCACATTACACTCGGCTTTTCATTAGACTTTCTTGTACGCGCGTTTCTCCTCTAAACGCAAGTTTGATGAAATTTTTACTTTTGCAAAAAACATATCATCCGTCGAGCTGTAAAACTTTCCCAGTGCTGTTTGCATTTTTAATTTTGCCAAGAGAATACACTATTCACCAAGCTCGACTGACGCTCACCCGACGCAGCACAGTTGTTTCACAATAAAATAGAGTATCATTGAACGTATTCGCCGACAGACAGCAAAAGAAACTCGCACGAACAACAGTGGTCGAACACGACACGGAGAGTTGCGCGCAGATCGTACGCGAGCACAATAAAGAACGTTTACCCTTTCGCAGAACCAGTTTCTCAAGCGGCTGTTAATCCTGGTGTTACACCTGACATGCCTGTCACTAGCCGTCTACTTTCGTCCCGAGGATGCCGAGGCTGAGTTGCTCGTGTGGCCCGACGAAGCCAGCGAGTACATTCGTATCATCGCCGAGATTGGCACTGTTGGCGGTGTCATTGGTTATATCGGCGTGCAACTTGGCGGAGAGTTACTCAACATCGGCTTCGTCTCATTCTTCAAACAGTTGGTAAGGCGCCACACACACGCACACTTTTTGATACGAGTCGCGCCTGCTTCTTTTATAAATGATGCGACTTCTTTGCTTTTGATAGGTTAGTTTATAGGTGCTTGGAATTCGGGCTTTTTCGGGGTTAGTCAACAATTCTTTTCACTTGTATTGATTTGTGGAGTATTTCAATGAGCATAACCGTAAATCTCACTGAAAGTAGTAAGTTAGCAGTTTGGTCAGACACATTATTTCATTTTTAAGAACGTGAAAATTTAGCTCTCTCTTGTATTCGATATTTTTAATCGATTCGGTTTCGAGTGTCCGTGGAACGATAGAACTCGCTAATTTGTCTAAAGCCACAAATTGCATATAAATAACGTCAGAGAAATTCAAGACATGCCATTTCGCTTTTATCTTTAAAATTGTAACTTATTGTACGTCAAAAGTTCGTCCATTTAGCACATAATCATATATTCTTCGAAATAAGTAAAGATTTCTTTTAAAAGAACTGTCCGTACGAGCAAAAGAACCGTTCGAACCAAACTGCAACTGTTTAATCAAGCGTAAACATGCCAATTCCATTTTCAGACTCACGAGCCGGCCAAATTCATATTCCTCATCAGCAATCTCTTGATCTTGGCATGCATCCCGTTCCGCATGTTGGGCGACAGGCACGCCGAGGACGCCATTCTCGTAGTAGCAGTTCCGGGCTCTTGGTTTCTCCTCATGTTTTTTGCCGGGTAAGCGCTTACAAATTGCGCGCGCCCTCCCCGTCCCGCCCCGTCGCCGTGTGTTTGGTCAATTGAATTTTCCGGATATGTTTGCCGGTAAGAGAGACAGAGAAAAGCCACACGATATCGAACGTGCTTCCAGAGAGGCTGTGAATTGGCTTTTGGTTACGATGGTTTACCGTAATTCGCGTGTCCTCGACGTTTGTTGAATCTAATGTATGCTCACGGTTTGACGATTTTCCATTTCCGGTAATTCCTTTTCGCTGGCGCTGCGAATCGTTTACTGGCGTCAACCGCTGCGTTTCATGGCCTTCGCTAAGACGAAAGTCGCATTATTTGCCTTTTTAGATGCGCTTCACGGACGCGCATAGCGATATCCGACGTCCTCGCGATACATCCAATTTTCATTTCCGAATCCATTGGAAATTGTGTCGTCAGCTTGGCGTCAGCTCAGATATCACATTTCGTTAGTAAGAAGAATATCTGCTTTCCATTTCCCGTTCGTTAAAGAGCGCGTCTCACGTAGCATTGGCGTAAAACTCTCCTCCCTGCTCAAACATTTCTCAGATTCAATCCGAATAATTGAAGTTGTAAATCCACCGCGGGCATGAAAACCACCATCGCGAGCAGTAGCGTGCCGCTTGGGAATTCATCGCACACACGCGCACCAGGCCACCACGCGAGAAAGAGGAAAGAAGCAAGCTCTCTCTCTGCTCTTTGCGAGAGTGAAAAAAGGGGGTTGGAGCTGCAATCCGAAAAAGGAGAGCGGTTCTTACTTAAGAAACCAGCGACGGCAGGAGATCTTGAAAGGCGAGCATTCACCCGAGCTCTCACGCGCAATCGGACTTATAACGTCGCGGACTCAAATCCGGATTTCGCCAGCGGAAATCCCAGGCTCGCGCGCGTGCCTCTGCCAACTCCTTCCGGCCAGAGCAAAGCCCCCGTCCGCGGAGAAGCCGACAAGTTTGCCGGTATGCAAAAACGCGCGCCGCGCGGTGAACCAGCTCCCGTGCGCCGCGCTCGCAATACGTTTTTCGATCGCGAGTTTTGACGGCTGCGGGCTTCGCGCTTTGACCTACATGTACATTTGGCCAACCGACCGCGAAAAAGGAAGGGTGGAGGTTTGGCCGAGGGGCCTTTTTTTCTTTTTTCGAGGCAGAACCTGCTGTTTTTGTTTATCCGATTCGGCGCAACGAAGGCAATCCCTGCCAGGTTATTAAACACGTATTCAAGCGTGAACCTTTGCATTAACGTATATTTCAAGCGGTAAGTGTTATTGTTCGCTGAATCGTTGCTGCGTGGTAAATGAGAGGAACACTTAATAACGTGCGCCGTCGAGCTCTCTTTCGAGAATTGCTCGAGAAAAGCAGTCTGCGGTTGCCGCGGGGTCATTAACATTTTGCCATGGAAAAAACAACGCTGATGTCGAGTGCACGCATCTAGTTACAGAGTAAACGTTGCTACCGCAGATAGGCAAGCTATTCCGTATTGCAGCATCTTGAAAAGAAAAATATGCAGGTGACTTTTGATAAAAACGTTCTATTAAACGCAACTACTCCGTTTGGCGAGCTGTCAATACACGGTACAAGAGCCAGTAGCTCGTCCCGCGGATCCCCTTTCATCATTTGTACGACGGGTGATGCTAATCAGTAGATCAATAATATTCTTACTGATAATTCTTTTAGCCGTCATTTGTCGATACTACTTGTCATCCAAGCGTCGAATACTGTCAAGCTTGAATTACTAACTTTTTGATCTCGTGAGTATGTAACGTAAAAGTGAACCAGCGATAAAATGAGTATCACTATATATATTTTAAGTATTTTCGCAGATTGTTTAGGACAAATAAGATCTAGGATGCAGAATTTTATTAATTAGGATCAATTTTTTGGAAAAAACAAACGATCAAAGACAATATTGAGGTTTACAAGAACGAGTTCAGTTCTAAAACTGATTATATTTCCTGACAGTACTATGAACCAATTTAAACTACATGTCTTCTCCAGTAAACTGACCATTCTAAAACATCATACTATGCTTTTATCATGAGAAATGTGTACGGAGAAACCAAACGACTATAAGGCGATTCTTATAGTTGCCCTTCGTTGTGTGCCTTAACAATTTTTCTCAGGAATTTATAAGCTTATCGATTGATAATGACGATAGACACAGAAAAAGCAGGACAATTATTATCAACAGAGAACAATAAAATTTGAAAATTTACTTGGCAATTTCAAATATAGCAGAGGTGGGTACGAGGTGCATTGCGAAAGTCCAATTGTAAGTAATGACGGCAATCATGGTGACGGCATCAACCAACAGCACATGGCACAGCATGTAATTAAAACGACAACTAGATAATCAGCCTAAAATGACAGCCGTTTTTCAAGTTGATCTCCGCCCTCAAAATACTCTAAGTACTTACTTGCCATGGGTACGCTGTCGGCGATTCCACAAATTACAAGTGCAGCCACTGCGCAAACAGGCAGATGATAATTCGCAAGTTCTGCGACGGTGGATGAAACAAACATTCGTTGTTATTCTCAGGTGTATAGCGAATGGCGAATCGTAAACCGTAAAGTTGGAGAAATCACGTAGTATTTTCGTTTCTTTGCTGCTCGTCACGACGTCAAATTGACTTTATATTAACTCGAAAATAATCTTGTTTTTGCAGAATTCGAGTAATCGAATACGTTGGGAAACCGAGTAAACATATCTCTTCTCAAGATATCGATGCTGTTACTAATTTCGCAATGGAAAGTAATATCATCAGAATAACGTTACAATTTTCCAGTAGTACAATTTTCCAGAGTTTTTTTCTCTTGCGAATAGTAGTATGTTTTCCTACCATTGCCAATGAGCACACGAGCAATATTATTAAGCAACGATCGCGCAGGACGTAGTTCAAATGTTTATTTTGTCAGAACCAATGAACGGATAAACTTTCGAACTCTGTTACCATTTTTCAAAACAAATGCGTGAGAAAAAAAATCTAGCTAACAAGCTCTTGCAACTCAAACTCGGAACAATATTTTTACTAAAGTCTGGTGAAAGCGAATCAAGGTTCGAGATATCGCGTTCGACTGAGACGAAATTACATATTGTGTACTTGTAGACCATTACGTAGTTTAAAAAAATATTAATAGCGATAGATGCATAGTGTAAATAATAAAACGCTTTTGTTCATGTAGGGTGTAGCTCAGATAAGCATCACGGTAACCAAGTATTCGGTGCACGAAGTCAAGGCGTTTTTGAGAAAGTTTTTCGTAGACCACAGATAATTTCAGGGGTGTCGATATATTGATTTAAAGCACAATTGTGCTTCGATTCACGCGGGTGCCAATGAAACTAAATAGGGCAATGAATTGTTCGTGCACAGTGAACTTGGCCATAAACTAGAAAAGTCTGCTTGTCTGTTTAATAAGAGATTTACAGATGTCGAATCAAAGTGAAAGTTCTTGCCTGCCCCGGAATGATAAAATACTTTATTTCGTCGGAAAGCGTATAAAAAAGCGATCGAAAAGGCGTTATACCCTCGGAAATAAAACTACACGGCTAGAGTAATACGCGTTTGGCCGAAACTTGATACAGCACAAAGAAAACTCGGTTAGATATGCACGAGGTGTCACGCAACTTTGCTCCCGCCGGTCCGCCTGCCACAAAAGGAAGAAGAAAAAATAATCACACACAGTCGTACGTAGAAAAACAAATCCTCAGGCGGCAACCGCGTATGACACGTAGCGGTATCCCGTGCAGGGAGTGATTTATGCAAATTGTCCACGCGCGCGCACGGGCGTCGTCACTCCCAAATTACCGGCCATTCATAAAGCACTTTCGCGCACCCGTAATTTTCCAAGCGAGAGGGAAAATCCAGAGTCTTGCGGGCGCTGTACGGCGGATGAGAGTAGCATCGCCGCGGCTGCGCGCAAAAACTGGAGCCGGCTTTTCGCAAATTGGCCGACTCGCGGCTGCACGCGATGAAAAATAAATTGTTCGGGCGCGTTTCCCTCGCTGTCGCGGGATCATGCGCGCGGGGCCCTGACGCGCGGGAGCGCCGCGCTGCACTCCACTCGCGGCAACTTTTCGCGGTCAGAAGACGCAAAGTTGGCTTCCCGGTCGTTTCGCCGCGGCCGTGGCTTTTGCGTCTGCGACGGAAAAGAATGATTTTTGCGCCGAGGGAGGCGTCTCTTGATTCCGATTTATCGTAATAATGATGCACGTCGACGGCGGTCGCGACGACGCAACCTCAATTCCAGTTGAAAATAACGCCGAAACACAAGGCAAAATGGCTCAGCCTCGACTTACTCGCTGTCAAACACCACTGAATTTTGAATGAAGTTCGCTGCGCGCGCGGAAGTACTTTGCGGAGTGAAAGTTGTCGCTCCGCGCCCGTCGAGTTATTCATCACAATACGTCAGCAGTGCATTTCCAGAAAACGAGCTGGTTATGAAAATTCAAAATAAGCGTCACTGTCGCGGAACGAAAGCGAGTACTATGCGTCCGATTGAAACGGGACGAGCCCAAAGCAAAGTCGCGTCGCTCGAGCAAAACAGCGGCGTAGGCTTTTGCAGGCATTAAATATGCAGGCGTGCGTATCGCGGAGAGAGAACAGACATATATCCCAGACGTAAAATGCGGAGATCAAAACTGGGATTATCCGGGAGTGCTGGACGATAAAATTACGCGAAGCGCGCGCGCGGCAGCAACAGCTTTCCACCGCTCATTTGCGGAATAGCCTCTTTCGCGATGCTAATGCCTCTGGAAAATTTCCTAGGAAATTCGGACGAGTTCCATCTTGTCGCACGAGGAGTCGCGCGCGTCACGTGGAGTGTCTTAACCCACATTGATGTCAGGGCTTTTAACTTATTTCCTGTTCTTAACTTGAAATTTTTTTTTTTTTACGTTGGGTGAACCGAAATGTCGGCTTCATTCGATTGCTTAGCGCTTTGTTCTTAGAAGTCTGAGAATCGTTTCGAGAATAAAATTCTTTATAGAGAGTACTTAGTAAATTCAATGAGATTTTTCATTATGACGCAGGAAATGGCAGGAAAAAAGTGAAATGCATTCTCATTATGAGAGAAATGGACGGTAACTCGATTGACCGGCTTCTCGCGTTGGCTAAAAGCGGAAAATCCTAATAATGAATAGCAGTAGCAGAGGCACGAATATTTGTCCTCCGCCCCCCGTTTTTTTCCTTCGCTGGAAAATAGAGCGAAAAGCCAATTAAGCGAGTGGCGATATGAATTTTGCGAGGGAGCGACTAGGCAACAATACGATTTGCAAGCTTTAAAAGCTGCGCCGGCCTCGGGCGTCGCGGCAAGATGAAAATAAAAAAAAAAAGAATTTTTTTTTCAGCAGCTTTGCACGCGTAAATTTCAATTTGCCAACGCACGTATGTATATTCATGATGCGTGCGTGCGTGCGCGGCCAACTGAAAAGTCGAAATACGGCGGGGCCAAAGTGGTGACGTGCGACGCCTCATCCGCGCGCGCGTCTGCCTTTTATGGTGCGTCACGAATCGTAACTGTAAATAATTCCACGTGGATGATGGTGATTTCCCACCATGAATTACGAGCTTTTAAAATTCTCTCGGCTTTCAAGGAAATTTGAATAAGTTCGTTAAAAAAATAGGGGGCCATAAACCTACGAAAGATGCCGTGGATAGCTTAATTTTAATAAAAGCTCGCGGTTGGTCATTTAATTAGTATTCATGAGTTTGTGCTACTTTTCTCGTGAGTGGACTGCGCTGGGGAAAAAAAATAATAGAAAGAAGTGACCATCACGAGATTAATTCTGAAGAGATACGCGTAGATTTTTTTCATTTTGCTGGGAGTCTGCGTTAATTAAAGCTTTGTTTGTGCTGGAAAAAATCTCCTCGATGGTATTTGTTTGACGGCATTCAAGGTTATTCACTGAAAAATGAACGTTTGATTATGTCTTTTAAAGGGGATGCTTTGTCGTGACAATGAACCTCTGTTAGTAGAGAAACTTAATGGATTCTTTCACTATGAATTTTTTTTATCTACAGCCAACTGTGCCCGCGTTAAAAAATTACCGATGCCATAATTTTTCGAAGTCGTAGGACTTGCTGTAAAATTGCAATTTGCAAATGATTGAATGCTATGTCCCAAGAAAAACAAATTGTCCAGTGAACGACCAAGAAACTGTCGTAAACTTTGGGAGCTAAGGGGATCCCGCGATAATGCATTACAATCACCGCAGGCGAAATAAAAAGAATACTAATGAAACTAGCGCAAGCTCGAACGCGAAATTCCATTAGAACGAGGGCACGAGGGCTAAAGTGTAAAATAACTGCGGTGGTGCAGCAAAAGAAAGTTAATCTTGCGCAAAGAGTCGATAAATTGCCCAACAACGTACTTGTGCACGCGCGCTTTTATATATATATATATGTGTGTGTGTGTGTGTGTGTGTGTGTGTGTGTGTGTGTGTGTGTGTGTGTGTGTGTGTGTGTGTGTCAGCGAGGGCAGAGGTCGTTATCGAGCGGCGGTGCTTTTCGGCAGGCGACGCCCAAGACTCCCGAGTATAGAGCTTTAATGGCGTCAAAATAAAGCAGCAGCAGCAGCAGCAGCAGCAGCAGCAACCAAGACGAGAGCTAAAGAGCGCCGTGCGCAAATTTTTTTTTTTTTTCCATGTCGACGGCGACGACGTTGTCGAGAAGCATTATGCGCAGGGTATACACCGAGTGCTTTTTTTTTCTTTCACGCTCGAGGGTCTTTTCCGCGGAAGAATATCTGAGTTTTACACGACGTTAATGTTTCTTTTTTCTCCTCATTCAAGTCTGCGCTAAAGACGTTGCACTTGGCGAATAATTTGTCAAAGTCCAATAGAAGAAATTTGACGAGTTAGTACGGCAAAAACAATTTTTCGCAGACGATACTTGCAGTTGTCAATAGACATTTTCGCGCGCGCGCGGGAGATTATGCAGGCTATCGATAGATGTCTTATGCATATAAAAAGTCGATCGATCGGATCCCTCTGTTATGCAATCCTCCAACCGAACTCAAAACTTACTGGCACGCGCACAAGCCATAAAAAGAACTTCGCGTGATGTATTGCGACCTTTCAGTTCTCAACGAAGCAAAAACATCGCATATACCAGTCGCATCTGCTTATTCATCCCAACGCACAGTACGCAAACAAACGAAAAATCCACGCGCAAAAACGTGTAGACGTATATTCGCCAATATATGCGTATGCGATCGCCCCGGAACTTCTCTGTTGTTCTTTAGTTTGCGCGCGCGCGCGCGCGCGAGTGTGTGTATTGGAAATCCACGTGAGTTATGCACTATGACGCTGGATATTTTTGCTTTTTTTTCCGTTCTCCACTACGAAGAAAAAAAACGCTGGTTGGATATTGTCGAGAAAGAGAGAAAGAGAAGCAGCTTTGGCCGGCTGCTGGCGATGGTCCTTGGCGAAATATTACCGAACCCTCCCTCCCCCTTCCCGCGCGCAATTTCGAAACATAACTTATCGTTTAAAACGCGTTATAATTTTTTTTTGCGCGCGCTGACTGGTTATTTATCGGCTGAGTGGACTTTTTTGCTACCGTAGCGCGGCGATAAGGCTTTTCTTTTATTTTTTGTTAGCATTTTCCTTCGACGTCGATGGAAACGAAAAGTTTGATGATAAACAAAACGATTATTGTTATTGCAGCACTTTGTCCTGGACACAAATGCAACGCGTAAAAACTTTTCGGAAAATAAATAAACGAAGGAAAAAATAAACAAGTCCGAGGGAGCACTCAACAGTGATTTATTTCTACCGAGAGTCGCACCATAATGCCTCGATAAATGCCTCTACGAGTAGGGTGTATCGCGTAATTGCGATAATTCTTGTTTATCGAAGCATGCGCGTGGCGTTAGAGATGCCAGATAAGAGAAGAAGCCCCGTCTATAAGGGAACGTTGAAACTGTTCGCAGGGCAATACGTCTGACTGGTCCTTTCGTCACGATGGTCTACAGCATGATAATGGGCGACATGCTGACATTCGGCATCATCTACACCATCGTCTTGACCGGCTTCTCGCAGTCGTTTTACTTTCTCTACAAGGGCTACCCCAAAGTCAACCAGACTCTCTATCACTCCTACCATTCCACCTGGATGGCCTTGTTTCAGATAACTCTTGGCGATTACAGCGTAAGACTTTTACCCTCTCGAAGGTTTGTTTTGCGTGCCTCTTCCCGTCGTTCGAAGACGAGTCGCTTCTCCATTGCCCGGCGTCCTCCCTCTTTTGCGAATTCCCTTTACATGAACTCGCTCCCGCGCGTAAACTTTCGAAATAATAACAAAAAGGTGGCAGCGAGAACGAAAATTTCCACGGATATAGGCACGTACGGCGCGCGCGTTGCATGGTAAAAGCACGTTTACAATCTTGCGCCCGAGGCCGGCCCTTCTTTTTACGAGCGTACGTGCATCGCGCGCTCGCGGCCACCGTCGTCCGTGCGCCATCCCTCTGTGTGTTTTCGTCAATGAATTATACGTGGCGCTCGGCCGCGTGCGAGTGCTGCAAATAATTGGCGGCCCGCGTGATCCTCGACAATATGGCGGCGGTGGCTTGGCGTTCTCCGGCGCGGCAAAGACGCGCGCCCGCCGGCCCGGAATCGACACGCGGCGTATCAATTATATCGACGCGCGCTCGGCGCCCGGCCCGCGTATTCCACGCTCGACCTGGCGCGCGTATCCACGGTGTCGTTCGTCCCCGCCACCGCGCGTTCATTAGTTTGTTTACGGTGTGCGACGTCGATTAATAGCTCGGCGCTGCCGTTGCCTGGCTTCTGCCTTCGGCGCCTTCGCGCGCCTAAGACTTTCATTACGGATACCAACGAACGATCGGAGAATGCCACTGTACGCTTCTAATAATGCAGTCGAATGGGATTGGATTTACTTTGGGCGGATAACGCGGCCAGAGAAAGATTGATTAAAATCTCGAGTAATCGAGGTCAAACCTAGATTTGTACTAGTATTGATATCTCAAATTCCTACATCTTCGAGTAAAACGCGGAGTAAAGAAGCAAGAGAACAAATATGTACGTAGGTTCGGTCTTTGCTTTCTTTCTTTTTTTTCTCTCGCCTGCCTGCAGTCTTCTTCACCGAACAATCGTTCCTTTTTCGCATTTATGTTTCGTCAATCAAAACCGATGCGAATCCGAACGATTACAATAGCATTATTCAGCGAGGGCTTCGTCGGAATTATTTACGAGCTATGAAGATTTTAACCGAAGCGAGATCGAGTCTGGCGAAATGCAAGCTATTCGCGTCATTTCTACCTTCATTCGATTACGAAACATTGAACATTGGCGGATTCTTTGAATCTTGTTAGAGGCGCAAATCACTGTATATCGTCGAGCAATATTGGGCGATGAAAGTTAATGAGATTGTGGACAATTTGAACGATCCAAGTGTGTGAGAGAAGGTGTGCACTGGCGTGCATCGGAAATCGGGCGCAGCTTTGTCGCGAACGCGTTCGAAAGTTGGCCGAGTTAATTGGCTCATTTGTAGCCCGATATGCACTCGTATTCTATTAAAAAGTCCGCGAAACTCATCGGGCATCATAAATACAGCCCTCCCTCTCCCCCCCACCTTCCTTGACTTTAACGTTAATTTCAAGAGTTTCCGCAACTTTCCGCGAAACTATTTTCGAAGCGAAATCGGAATGGCCGAAGTCAATGTTTTTTGTGCCGACGTATTTATTCGAGCCTCGCTCATTAAATCTGTCTTTTCATGCATATTTTCGTCGGGTCGATCGAATACGAAAATCATCAAGTTTCAGCCCATGCATATATACCGCCGACAGTCGCATTGTAAATTTACGAAAATAGCCAAAAAATCTTTGACGTATTTGGGTGATCGTTGTCCAGCCTTCTCGCGTACGCGCGCGCGTCTGCGTGCGTCTGCGCGCGTTATTTATCAGTGTTTGCTGACCGTGAAATTTGTCGCTTAACCATTTTTTGATAATTTATTGTTCGGGCACCGATAGAAGTATAATAGATAGTCCAGGATGTAGCCGATAAAAGTCGTGTATCAAATTTCGAATGGACTGGTGAAATTTTCCCTTTCTACGTTTTTTATTATTATCGAGCGATTGCAATCTATATTAATGAAAAATGTCACGTTTATTTTCCAGTACGCAGACCTGGCTAAGACAAGCTATCCGAATTTGAGCAAGACAGTGTTTGCCATTTTCATGGTACTTGTGCCAATCTTATTGCTCAACATGCTGATAGCTATGATGGGCAACACGTACGCGCACGTGATCGAGCAAAGCGAGAAGGAATGGGTGAAACAGGTGATACACGTTTATACACGACGACATGGATCTCGCAAAAATTGTTGTGTTGGAAAGGATGGTTTTCTTTATACAAAACGTGCGCGGGATTTTCAAAAATCGCTTTACCTCTTACCAATGAGAAAAGGCTTGAATTTTTGTTATTTGTTTATTTCAGTTGATACTCGCAAAAACTATTTCTAATTTAGAAGCACTTATACGATCTAGATTAAACACATATATCTGTTCAACCTAGACCGTAATAGTATTCAAGCGACTAACTTATGATTAACGAAGATCGTAGACTCGATATCATGCACTCTTTTAATCGGCTATTTTCGCTGCTCGCTCTCTAATAATTCAAGCCGAATCCAGCTTTATATAATCAATTGTACATTCTTTGTCCGATGGATTTCAAGAGAATCTAAACTTTCCGTCCGCTTCGGCAATCTTTCAAATGACAACCTGATTTATAATCGTTTGAAATGAAGTAACCAAGGTGAAGAAAATACAATCTCCTTTCTTATGTTCGCGCGAGCTCAGTGGGCGAAAATAGTGGTGTCGCTGGAGCGCGCAGTGTCGTCGAAGGACGCGCACAAGTATCTACAGGAGTACAGCATAAAGCTTGGCCCTGGGGACGACCCGAACGATCCGGCGAGCGAGCAGCGAGGCGTCATGGTCATTAAGAGCAAATCGAAGACCCGTGCGAGGCAGCGCAAGGGGGCCGTCGCTAATTGGAAGGTGCGCCTCGACCGCTTGCTCTCCGTCTCGCTCCTTTTTCCACCTCTTACCAGCGGTTTCCGCCTCCTTGCCGCAGTCGCTTTATTTTATTATATTTTATTTTTTGATCGAGACGCGCGCCCTTCCCAAGTCGAGGACGCGCCTCGTCCGTTCGGACCGATAACGAGGAGCGTCGGGAGAAGTCGCGCGCGAGAATGCTCTCGCCGAGTGTTATCGGACGCGCGATTAAAGCCTTTGACCCCGCCAACCAGTCGTCCTCTCTCGCGCACAATCGTTTATTTCGCCCCTTGGCTATCGTCTCTCTTCCCCGCCGGGAGGCAGCACCGCAACTCATGAATATTAATCGGCTTGGTTTCGCGCGCTCTGTTGCGCGAAAAATTCTCCTCCTCTCTGATTTGCATAGAGAGTCGGCAAGGTAACTATCAAAGAGCTGGAAAAGCGCGGCATGACTGGCGAGGACCTGCGGCGCATCATGTGGGGACGCGCGTCCTTCTCGACACCGGTCAGAGCCAGGTAAAAGCAACACGAAAACACACGCACCACCTCGCCTCTTTTTATCTCGCGCCACGGTGCCATTTGCATTTCCCTCTTGCTCGAGGCAAAAGCAAAAAGAAAAAAACTTAATTATCGGCGCAGAGCGAAATTCGTTAAAACGCGCCGGATGTAAAGTATTGGAATTTTCGGACGTTTTTTTATCTCGCTCTCTTTTCTTTGTCGCTTTTGCCGTCCGATGGGAAACGTCTTCGATGGATTTACAAAAGTGCTAATTACGTTTTTATTTCATTCGGAAATTGTTGAGCAGATCAATTTAAATTAATTTTCATCCGATCCCGCGTGTTTTTTTCACTCGGACCTGTTACATTTTTAAATTGAATCTCCCGTTCGACAGTAATACTTCAGATCGCATGACAAAGAGGCGAGCACGTATTTCGTTCAATGTTCCACCAACAACGCAGTCGATCAATAAAACGACCCTCATTATTTCCCATTGCCGCGCAACAACAAAGTCCAACCCTGGGGCAATCAGTGCCAATGGTGTCAGGCGGCGCTTTCGGGGAAGCTTTGACCGCCGCCCTCGACGTCATGACCTTTGCCGCGGATACGACCGAGCAACAGCAGCAGCAGCAGCAGCAGCCAACAGTAGCCAATGGCGGACCGCCCGTTCAATCTCAACCCCAACAGCCGCTTAAGACTACAGCTGCTACGACAACGACGACAACACCGAGTACAGCCGTCACAACTGCCACGGTGGTTAAATCCAAAACTTCATTGGACCAAAAAGCCTCGGCCAAGACTGCAATTACGCCGCCTGTTAAGAAGAGTGCGACTGGTGAGGCTTGATATTGCTTTAATTATTGAAGGAGAAGTGAGTGACGTTTCTGCGGGAACATCGTAGGCCGAGAAACTATATCAAGTAGTAGTGTATGCGAATAGTCAGACAGGAACGAGTAGACTACTTTACGTAAAGATATTCTTGAGCTTTTAAAATATGACAGCCAATCTCATGAGAACTGGATCAAGCCAATCTGGAATAACATTTCTTTCCTTGTGAAATAAAATCAACGATTAAATATTTATCAACTTTCTCGCTCACTGCGCGAGAAATATCCGGTTGATATGCATTAATTTGTCAGCGCACTCTGCGACCTTTCGAGACATTAAAACATCGCCATCAAATTCTCCAATTTCGTCGAACTTTACGACGTGTACTTTTAAAAAGCATTCGCTCAAAATACACAGTTAGCCAGTGTATCCGCGTGCTCACGAACTCAAAGTTTCGTTTTTTACGACGCGCTATAACCAAAATTCAACCAGAACTCTGCGCCGGCCATTGGAAAAACGCGATGGTGGCGGTGGCGGCGTCTCCTCTCAACCGAAAATAACAGAGCGCTAAATTCACCAATTATAAATACAACACGAGTCGCGCCAATATTTTTTGCTCACGCGACTTTGGAGCTTTTCTACAATACAACGGAATTATCCGCTCGGTCGCGCGCTCATTGCCGTCGACAAATTTCCGCGCCCGCGCTAATGTATTTATTTTTCGCTTAAAGATTGTCTCGAGAGGCGATAGGGGCCTTCGCCGAACATTTGCTCGGCGGATAATTAAGCTTTCACGAAGATTTTTATTTCGACACTCGTTCTCTTTGTCCGCCATCTCGGTGGAGAATGAATTCGTTAGGGAGTTTTCCAGCAAAAGAGCTATTTACGAATTATCACTCGCATGACGCGATTTGCAAAAAAAAGATTTTTTTTCTTTTCGACGAGGAAAGAAAGAAGACATGCAGGCGTTCTAAAATTGAATAAAGACACATTGAATTTTTCGTTGGTTCGCGAAATATGATTTAATTTGGTCGTTAGGACGACCTTGTTGCATATTTAGTATCTGGCTTCTAAATATTAATCATCGGCCGCGCGCGATGGAAGGTATAATAAAGCTCTGAAATATCTGGAACGGTGTTAAGTTAATGAGGCATTATTAGACTTCCTTCACACAATAGCGCTGCGTGCCTTCGTTTGGCTTCCTATGTAAGAGGATATTTTTTTTTCTTTTCGTCCCGTTGGAAAAATGCAAAACTAAAGTTTTCGAAGTAATTTCAGCCCAAGCTCCGTTAAATTACAAGGTAATCATTTGTCTTCTCCGCAAAGTTTCTTTACATGTATCTTAGATCAGCCCTTGGTTTTTCTCTTTTGATGTAAAAAAAGTTCAAGTTCCCATTCCAATGACTTATCAAACTTCGTTAATACTACTAAACTTCCACGCAGAAATTACGCTACATTTTCAAGTTGACAAACGTACTCTCGAAAGAAGCGAAGGCTCTCAGGAGGAATCGCCCCAAAGGCAGTACGATCGGAATAAAGAAACCAAGTCACACCCTTTCAGTTTCAGCAATCGTGCCAAGTACGAGCCAAGTAGACGCAGCGACGGAGGGCCAGCATCCGAGCAGCCAAGATCCACTGCTGGACTTGATGATCGCGTCGACGGAGAGAACGGATGCGGACGAAGAGACGCTACAGCGCTTGGCCCGTTCGGCGCGGATAGCCGGCGAAAGCGCCGTCGCGGCGGCCGTCAAGTCCGATATCGATCTTCTGGAGAGACTTGCCTTGGGTGGCCTCGGCCTCGCCAACGCTCAACCCGAACTACAACCTATCGCGCCGCAGCCCAAACGAAAGCAGTATCTCGTCGAATCCAGTGACAATGACATTTGCGCAAGTACGCGTGAGATGATTGATTTTTTTTCCTGCGACGATTTGTTTTATTTCATTTCTTTTTCTGGGCCATTCTCGATCGAGCAGATTCTGGATTTCCATTTATTTTTATGGTTGGTGGGATATGGAATATACTTAGAAAAACAACTATTTTTTAGGAAGGATACATTTTTTATCTTTTATTTGTTGTTCTATTGCTTTGTACGTGGAAGCCAAACCTCATATCAGATTGCTTAGGTTCAATTGAAATTAATTCACACTGTATTAATCATTAAATATCTATTTTTGGGGAATACAATTTATACTTGATGATACGTGCACGACGTCTTCAGTAAACATGAAGCAATGGTGCTGCTTTCAATAATTGTGAATTAAGTTTCATTGACACCGAATAGTGGGATTCGCAATCTTATAAAAGAATCCATGTTTTCGTGTGTACTTATATTTTACGAATGCCACTATTTCAATTTTATGAATGTTTCTGTTTAAATAAGTCATCATAATTTTGAAACTGAATGTGAAATCTAAACGGCAATCTTACCAAAACACTGATCGTATGAATAACTTCACGATATTTACCAAGTTTTCATCTAAAAATAATGAAACAATGGCCGTTTCACTAACGCTTGTCATCTTTCAAGACATCGATATTTTTCATTAAAAAATCCTTACGCGAAAACTCGGATACGCCATTCTGCCACTCAGCAATATGTTTTTTCGATCTTCTTCTTCTTCTTCTTCCTCAGTCGAAGTACGCGAGCGGGTATTTCAATTCATGCATTCGAAATAGCCAGCAGATTTCCAACGGCACAGGATGTATGGAATTTCGCTTATACATGTGTTTCCAAGTGTACTCGCGCTTTCTCTCCTCCCGCGTATGTGTGCCCATCAATGTTCTCAAACTGCTCAAGATACCTCTCGCGAGCAAACTTCTAGCACTGAGCAGAGTTGGCTTTTCTCTGTACTCGAAGCCAGTCAAATATTTCGCGGGGAAATCTGTCGATTTATTACCTTCTCCTTTTTGCTTCGTTCGAGACTTGAAACGCCTATTGGTCGAAAAATTTTCTTTTTGAACCGATGTATTTTCCTTTTACATTTACAGAGATCACTTTTTTAACATAGTAGTATCTGAACATGTTGTTTTTACTAAGAAAAATTAATTAGATTTTTTTATTCCGCAAGTGTTACTAGTAAACGAGTCTTTTATCTTCACAAAACTAATTCTCCCGGCATTTGTTTGCTATATCCTTTAGTTAAATTATAGAAGAATGCATTAGTTTGGGATCGTTATTTGTAGATAACTAATCATACGATTAAATAATTTCCTTTCAAATATAACGCTGAGCTGCGTATTTACTTGGACGTGCCGCGACGATTAAGTTCGAAAAAGTAATATTCAAATTTTCCTTAACAAAATCGGAAAAATAAATCAGAAAAAAATGTTTAAAAAAATAAATAAAAACTTACGAACGATTTCTGCGGTGGCTCGTATTGTAGATAGAGCATCGAACTTCTATGCGGAAGGTATTTCCACTGTGTACCTCTGACTTCTTTCTTCCAAAAAGAGTAGGTTTCGAAATCAACACAGTAGTTCGAATTCCACTGGCCAATAAACTGTAGGTCCAGTATCTGAAGGCGAACCTTCGTTTACTTTCGTCACAATTGTAGAAGCTAAAAAGGCATGGATAAACTTCCCTACCACACATCGGGGTCAACGCAGCGATGGTGGGCGAGTCCCCGTCTGTCTCCAGACCAATGTGCTGATACGCAACCAATAACTAATTACCCTTTCCTTTCAAATATTACGCTCAAAGACGGATGCACTTTGGCGGGAGCCTTCATTCCTCATAAGCTCTTTAGATATACAATTAGTAGGCTGCAAAATGTTATTTTTTTTTTGCATTCAATTTTGTGACATGATTTTATAGCTTTCATCATTTCATCTTTTTTTTTATTTCGTAATGGTGAAAAATGTAATGATTATCATGATGTTATATCCAGCTGGCTGGATGTATTTTTTTAACGAAAAAACGTCACAATAAAAAAAAATATTTATTTCTGTTTTTCCAATAAGTATACTATCGATTCCGATGGTGACGTTTTTTCTTTATTTTTTTCGCAAAGAAAAATAAATATTTCTTCACTTTTTATATTGACGTACAGAAAAAATGCTGAGTTAAACCGAATTTTTTGTCGAAGATCTCTTGTGAAAGTAGCGTACATAGTTATAGAAAACCGTAGTTTTTTGAGAGTTTGAATAAAAAAGTCATTCAATAAACCATGACGTAAATTCTTATTTTTTTCTACATAGTCGAAACAACTACTATCGAAACTTGACATGATTTTTTTCCCAGTACTTGTTGTCTTTCTCCAAAAGATGATTTGGTGAAATTGAGTACTATTGAACGCCAAACTTTCCAAAAGCACTAAAGTAAAAAATACTTTCAACTTGTGTAGCATCGGAAACGCATACATTCCACTCGAGCAAATTCTCGCACAAGAAAATCGTAAGCAGCTCAATCTCTGACTATCATAAAACGCAAAGCTCACCTCTAAATCATCGCTCGTACAATAGGCCCTGCATAAAGTGCTTTCTACGCGTATATTTCAGACGAGGGCCAACTGGGTTTGGAGGCACGACTGCGTCGCATCAGGTCAGCGAACAGTCGCAGGAAGTCCGGCCAGCAGCAGCAGCGCAGCATAGACGCGAGCTCACTGTCGTCCCTCGACAACGATACTTCCGGTTACCGGCCACTGGTCAACGAGCCGGACGTACCTACGCTTCTGCCTGCGAGTACTAACCTCGAGGACAATAAGAACGGGAAGCAGCAGCCGCAGCAACGCAAGAGGCCCGGGACAACCGCGAGAAATCGGTACCCATCCCTTTCCATTTATTATACCTTCTCTTCCACCTAAAAATCAAGCTGTGCGCGTTTCACTGTCAACTCCAAGATTTTTCGTTCGTCCGACCCGTGCTATTCATCATCGTATCTCGCGTGTGTGATTTATCGTGTCGGGATGTGCGCTCGTACACTCGCCTTCGCGAAAGATCGTTTCGCAACGATCTCCCTCATTTGCAACTGATTTCTGGCAAATTTTAACGGTCTGGCGCGAAAAGGAATTCAGTTGTCTACCCGAACTCGAGTTGTACTACTAAAATTGAAATATTTTTTTTCTATTATTCGCGTCAAATTTAGCAGTACTTGTGATTTTCACGTATCAAAGTTCCCGTTGGATGTCTTCTTTCACGAAAAACACATCTAAGCACAATAACTAACATCGAGATTGTTTCTTTCTTTCATCATTCCCAATAAATTACTCACCCAATATGAAAACAGCACTAAATCGAAAAATAATCTCGCAAAGACTCGTAGTGCTGTAAAAACTTACTGTTTAACGTTCTCTTATTAACTCTTCGTTGCAGGGTAGCACCAATAGAGCAAGCTGAGCCAGCAGCAGTAGCAGCAGCAGTAGCAGCAACAGCAGCAGAGCCGGACGTAGAGACCGTCGACCCCTTGGAGCCCTGGAGCACGCGCGGCATCAAAAACATGAACGCGATACTCGCGTGGAAGGATGAAGAAGCTACGGGCAGCCCTTAGATCTTCTCCTTTTGTCTCGCCAGAGAGAAAGAGAGAGAGAGACGGGAGAGAGCTTTGCAGATAAAGATCCCCGGAAGCCGCGCTCGCTTTTATTTACTCGCAAAAAAAAATTCGAGCTCAAAGACATCTCAGTCTTTTTTTGTCGGCGTCGACGACGACAAAAGCCTACTGGCATGAGCTATATTATAAATTTCCTTTTTTTCTTCTCGTAACGTCAGATGATCTGGTTATTGTTTTGAATCTTGAATTTTCTCAGACATTGCGAGTGACAGATTCATGTTAGAAATGGTTTTTTACAAATAATTGGTTTGTTTTCCTTTCCACGCAGAGAAAATAAGAATTAACTGTGCCTGTTGTTATGTTCTCATTCAATTTAAATAGTTAGCTGATCATTATCACTAAGAATAAGCGTAAAACCTTTGATAAAATTAAAAATATTAATTGAACCTCTACTTTTTTTACGAGCAATGAGTGTAGCCCAATTATAAGCAGCATAAAAATCGCGAAACATAAAGGAATCTAAGTTTTCATAATTACAGCTGTATAAAATCCGATTATTTTCTTTGGAAACTGTAAAGCTCGATTTACCGCTCTATTCATAATGTACAGTACTTTGGGGAGAGAGAAAGAGGGAGAAAATCGTAAAACAAAAGCTGCCTTTTTGAGTGTGCAAGTGTATAAGTATCATAACTGTTCATTGTTTTACTACTCATTATAGCGTTAATCAAACCCTCCAAAGTTTTATATAGTGAGAATAAAAAAAGTTGGAGCATCAAAAAGTCAAGTATGTAAGCATTGTATCGTGTGTAATATTCATATCAAGCAGCGTGAAAGCATCTAACGAATGTCGTAAGGTCGGAAAAAGGGTACCTTATTTTTCTACATATATATGAATGGACAAAGGCGCCAGGCGAAGAGCGCGGAGTGGAGAAAAAATCTACGCGTACTTCTCTCGGAACTCACAAACAAAGAACAATAAATTTAGAAGCAGAAAATCCCACGCTAGTGCACACTTTTATAAACGCACAAACACTTTAATTTTCCGTTTTGCCTCTGTCCTTTTCAATTACTCTCGGCGTTGATTATTTATCGAGGGGTGAGAAATTGCACGCACGTGCGTTGATTTAGTAGGGCCGCGGATATTGAGCGCTGCGAACGAAAAGGGAAGAAAAAAACGAAAAACAAATGGGGCGGGGAGAGGGGGAGAAAAAGTTATTGTCCAATCGAGAGCAATCAACGCAGCCTCGCGAGCCTAGTTGTAAATAACTTGTGGTTTCGCCGGCGTATTTGAATTTAATTTTAGCCCACAAAGCTTCTCTCGCGCCGGCGCATCGGTTATGAATAATAAAACAATGTATTAAGGGCAACAGCAACAGCTGCAAGAGAGAAGATATCTAATTTGAATTTTCTTCAGTCTGTCGCGCGCCCAAGCTCGAGCTTGTTTGCCTCAATTTAAAGTTTAAACTAGTATATTGATTCTTGAGATTGTAATTGATCCGGCTTGGCTGATGAATAAGATAATTGGATTCGCGCATCTCGCTCGGAGAGATACACTTTCCCCTTTCCTTTGCTCTCTTCGCTTGATTGCTAAAGTTTCGTGCTGCCTGCTTACGGGATCTGCCAAGTCGGCCGCGATCATGAAATTTTTCTTTCGTCGAGCCTTGCCGACAAATACATTGTATACAAATCAATTGGTTGAACGAGCTTCCGTTTCATACCTTGAGATGTCTATTTAAAGCGTTCATAACTTGATCAACATCAGGCTGAGCTAGTTTCATTTTAATTCTCGTGACGTAGAGTGGATTTCAATAAATCTTTCACGTTCATGATCGCTTGTCATCGGCTGTATCTTTAGAGCAACCCAATTTGCATCGAGGGTTTTTTTTCAAACTGGCCTCAATGAGAAAACTTATAAAGTCTGGTGCCTCTTTTTGCTATCGCCTTGTAAATAAGCAACTGGATAACATAAGAATAGCCCGAGCGGCAATAAGTCGCCAACGAAGAGGAGTGAAATCTTAGAGCATGGTTCGGCGAAGGTGAGATTCAATTATAATTAGAGAGCGTGAGAGTATGTGCTCGAGTCGAAATTTAATAATAACACGTCGTATCAAAGGGACGCATAATGGATAGATATACGCGCAGCAGCGAAACAATTTATTGACTAGAGCAACAATTTTGGACTAAAGAGCAGTTAATTTCCTCTCGTGAAGTTTTAATCATTAAATTATGAAACTAAACTCCTCCTGACAAAAGCAAACGCATTTAATTTTCAACAAGTCGCAACTTACACGACCCCCGTTTCAAACGAAACAGCCACGCGCGCGCGTGTGTTAGCCTAAAAGCGCTGGATCGACTTTCAATTCCCATTGCGAAAATATTCATCAGAGAGTGAGCGAGAGAGCAGCGTCCAACATTTTTCACAATAACTCGGCGAGATATATTCATGAAAAAGCCGAGCCGCGCAGTAGAGTCTCCAAATCCACGCATACAAAGTAGGGATTTGCGCACACAGTCTCGAATGGAGAGAAAGAGAGAGAGAGAGAGAGAGAGAGAGAGAGAGAGAGAGAGAGAGAGAGAAAGAGAAAGAGAGAGACTGTCACATTAAAAAGCGTTCCAAGTGTTGCGCGCGCGAGAAATCGATTTTCGATTACGCCGGATACAAGGAGCGGGTGCTTTTGTGGCCAAGAGGAAGTTTCGTTACGAAGCAGTTGTGCTTCTCTCTCTCTCCCTCTCTCTTGGATGAAAGCGTGCATTCAAGCGAGTTAGCCTGAGAAATGGCCCGCGCGCTCGCTCGCTGCCGCGCGGCTGTAAAACAATTAGTTCCAGTTTGGTCCGCTCAACTTCTTCTTCTTCCTCTTCTTCTAAAGTTTATTGAGAACGAGCAACCGCGTTCCGTGTAATCATTGGCAACCACAGTTTTTTTTTCGTGTTTTTCAGTTTGATCATTTGATAATTTGATAATAGGAGCAGCGGAACAGATATCCGAAGTTTCGTTCGTAGACAATCTATTTGTTTCGTCTATCGTTCGCTCTCTGCAGTTGACCTTTCGCTGGATCGACGTTGCCACACGCGGCATTGCTCAAAACAAGTTGCAAATCGCCGTTGATGCAGGGGCTTGCGCGGGCATCTACAGCGCGATCCTTTAGAAGCAAACCATACCCAATTGTGCCATTGTTCTCGTATATTTATTTTTAGATCCAGATCGAGCTTGCGCTAGGGAGGCAAGCTCGAAAGCTCGCATTTGTAATTCTGAGTAATTTGGCCGCGTTCGTAATATCGAAGAGTACAGACGGCACGGCGATAAAATAAAGGGAGGCGTTGCTCGGCAGCAGCGCACGATCGTTAGCGATGCAATTCAGCGGACGACTTTTCGTCTCTCGTCGCGCGAGCGAGAAAAAAAGCTCGGACAGAGAGAAGAGCAACAATAACATTACGCGTCCTCCCTTGTGGCTCTACGAAGCCAATCGCGCGCAAACGATCCTCGGAGACGCCGCGGCGATAAAAAATAATCGCGAACCGTTAAAAAACGAGAAAAGGCATAATGCGATCGGCGATAAACGGAGGGAGGAGAGGGTCACGCGGAGGGAATCACGCGATTGTAAAAGTGCGCTCGCGCCAGACGAAGACGCGCGTATCGAAATCGCGGCGAGTGGCGAGGCGCGAAACGAGAGCGAGGGCGGCGCCACGCGGCAGTCGATGCTCCATAATTAATTTGGCGAACGCGCGTGTTGCATGATTATTTAGAGCAATATGATTGCGACGTGTATCAAAACGAAGGCCTTATTATCTTGCCATTATGTAGATTATCAGGTCGTGAGCCGATGTCGGACAATTAGTGACGGCTAATTGGACTTTCGATGTAATTTAATCTAACGGGGACCGGCGCGAGTATGCGTATACGCTTTTCAGTTGTAATGCCCAGGCTCGGCGCGCCTGCGCTCGTGCATTATCCGTCAACCGTGGGCTTTCACGGCCGCTCCACGTTTGCTCCAGATTAGCGATGGGAATCCAGTCGATCAAGTTGCACATTAATACAGGCACTTTCAGATGCGGACGAGCCATAGCTGCATCGATTCAACATGGGAAGAGGATCGGGAGCAAGTTATTTTTGATCTTCCTCGAGCGACTGCTAAAACAAGTGTCGGGGGAAAAATAGCGAATCTACATTTGTGGATAAAAATAGAGACGTCGAGGGAGGAAAGAGAGACCGGAGTGGTTCGATCCGATCCCCTCGATAATAAATAACGAATTCGATCATCGTATGCATTTTGCCGAGAATTTTAACTTTCCATCTGGGTTGGTTAAAAGTTCCGCCATGTGCGGCATTCCTATTTTCGCCTCGTCTATTTTTCCCGCGACAATTGGCATAGCCGAGAAAAACGCGGCGGACGAGCGTTGGGCCCTCGGCTGCGCGTCGATTTTCAAAACAACAGTGATTCGGCCTGTAACGCGCGTCCTAATTACCAATCCGACCGCAGGCGCCGCTGCCGACCAACAAAAGCGAATCGCCGGTAAACAAAACCTCGGGCGCTAGCGGCGTGCACGCAACGAAAACGGTCAAATAAACCGCATCTCCCAAATTACAGTCCCTTCGCCGGAGTGGAATTCGAATGCACAACGCAAAAGTCCAATAACCGAATCAGCGGCAAGGCAAGAGAGTGACACTGACAAGATGAGCTGGGGCTTGATGTTGCTTTTTTTGATCAGCGCATCGCCGAGCAAGACCTGGCGAGCTACCGGCGATGATGACACTGCTCGTTACTGCCGGATTTGCCCTGACCACACTATGTGCCGTTTTTCCGGTGGGTTCGCCTCAACGTCAATCAACGTCCTCTCTCTCTCTCTCTCTCTTTCTCTCTCTCTTGCTCTGAGCTTTCTCGCAGTCGATACGCGTAACCTCCGCCTCCGCTTCTTCGCGCGACGCGCGCGTGTCATTAACGAGCGTTGTTTCTCCGCGACGGCCTCTCATTGGTTCATTCGAAAGCTTTGTCGTGATTTTCGCGTCTCTTGCTTCGTTAGCAGAAATTTGGCGGAAAAGGGATTTACTCTTTTTCCGTTCGCTTTGACGCGCTCGCCGACCTCCCGGCATCACGATCGATAGTCAACCGGGCTTCCTTGCGTAAGACATTAAAAGTTACCATATTCGAACGCGTTTCTAAAGATCCTTCCGAGCGAATAAACAACTTTGAAAAAGATACCGATGCTGGCTCTCGTCAAAGCTCTTTGTAAATAACGAAAAAATTCTTCGATCGCGACGATACGTCTTGCGGGAAAATTCCACGATACGTTTGTATTTATACGAATATGCGTGCACTTTGAATTCTCCGGAGCTTTCTGAAGCTCAAAGCAGTTTATAATA